CCCCCGGGGCCGGACCCCAGCCCATTTGAGGCCCAGGAGGGAGAAGCAGCAGGAGATGCTCTTGCTATGGAAAGGGGAAGCGCTGGCTCCTTCCCGTGGAGAGGAGACCACCACCACCCACTCCCCTGTAAAACAGCCTCTCGGCTCCCCCAGGTCGGCTGGGCTCGACCAGGAAAGCTCAAGCAGGAACTCAGGGACAGATATGGCACAAGCCAGGGCACCTCAGTCCCTTGCCTCAGACTCCAGCCTGGAGCCAGGTTTCACATGCTGGCCACACAGATTTCCCTCCATGACACAACAGGAACAGGTCCTTCCTTTTTTTCTCAAAAAGTTGTTTATTGAATTGTTCTTAATGTTATTTCAAAAAAAAAATTCAAAATTTAGATAAAAAGAAAAACCTTGGTGTAAAATCAAAACTAATGTTTGAACCAAGGACGTGCTCCAACACAAAAGAGAACCAATGGCCCCCAGGGGCCAACCATCCCTACCCAGAGCACCTCCTGGGGTCACTGTGGAAGCATGCAGGCACAGCCCCCCGACCAAATGTGCCCACACCAAATAGGATGTACCCCCACAGTGGTGGCAGTGAGGATGGGGAGTTCATGAAACCCCCTTCGTGCTTCGCTGATACCCACCCAGCTACTCACCCCTCCCCCAGGGAGGAGGAGTTTGAGTAAGACTTCTGTGATACAGGTTCTTGTTTCTGGTTAACAAGGAGCACAGGTCCCTGGTAGTCCCCTTGCTCGGGGCTCAGTGTCCACCTCCCTTCTCTTCTGCTCATGGCAGCAGACTCCAAACTAAAAGGGTAAGAAATCCACTGGCTGAAGGCAACGTGGACTGCAAGCCAGGCCTTGGGGACGGACGGGCAAGTGAAGAGGAGACTTAACTTAGGACTTTCCTTATTTAGGAAAAATAAGCCAAGTGAGCGTTCAGTGACTATTTGGGACTATACACAGATGGCATTTGCCTTAGAGACATCACACACATGTTGATAGATTTCCTGGCAAGAGCTCTTAACACAAGCCATACGTGGTTAGTAACTACTGTTTCTGCTGGGTGGGCTTCCATGGAGCAGCCCACAAGGTAGCCAGGTCCTCCTAGGTCATGCCAGGGGTGACCAGGCCCTGGAGCATGATCATGAGGCGACGGGCAGGCTTGCTCAGCGTGTTGTGGGGTTCCACCTGGAGGAACTGGAAGAGTTTCTGCCGCACCTGGTTCATGACTGACCCCATGTGGTCTCGGGTGATGGGGTCACTGTGGTCCAGGTGCATCACTGCTTCCTCCAAGTAACTGAAGGAGAGAGACCAGTGTTAGAACCAAACTCACTGTGCAATCCCAAACCGATTCGGTTCATTTTAGCACTGAAGATGCCCAATTCTGCTCCCCCACCCACCCAAACTCAGTGCAGTATGTTCAGCCATCAGAAAAGAAACGTTACTGACTCACAGCAGAGTCCACCTAGCTCTTCTTCAACACATAAAGGCAGCCTATACATTTTCCAGCCCACAGTACGTGCAGCACAACCTGGCTGCGTGACCCACGAAGGCACAACAGCAAGCCAGAACTCCCTGCAGAGCTGGAGGTGGCACTTGGCCACAGCTCTTTAGATATTTTCTTTGATGCTTTTTTAGAATAAGCAGAATTAGTCACTTATTAGACAGTAAAAATCCTCAGTAGTGAGGCTTATTTCATGTAAGCATAGATTTAAGGTCTTCTTCCTATACACCTATCCAGGAAGGGGTGGTGAAGAGCAAGAATTTTACCAAGAAGCCTTTCTAAAGTTCAGATGAGCCATAAACTTTCAAACCACAGCCTGAGAGTAAGGCAATGGGGTCACTGAAAAGGTTTTCACTAACAGACCAGTCTGAGCTTAACAGCAACTTCAACTGTGACTACCAGCTCTTCTGTAAAATAAAGCTTTTCTTCAGTTTTTCTAGCTTGCTTTATCCTATTGTTAACTTGAGCTTAAAACACCATTTAAGTCATTTTCCATACAAGCCATAGTCAAACTTGCAGGTACCTTAACAAGTTAGGTTTTTTTTTGGCAGATAACAGGGTTTTGACTCACAACCTAAAAACGTTCATGGCAAGTATCAGCACAGTCACTATATTGTCACACGAACTCCTAACAGGCAGCTCCTGCTGCCACCTCCCACTGAGCCTGTCTGGCAGTCACGATGAGAAACCGCCGACACGAAGTCCAGCGATGGGTCGAGAACTGAGGACAGAGCAAAGTTGCTTTGGACACTGAGCTACTCAGGAAACATAGCACTATCCCTCTTTTTGCCTCCCCAGGGATAATGTTCCTTGGTGCAAGGCGATCGTTGCACAGACTGCAAGTATTTACAGACTATAATCCAGGAGTTAACAGCATCTACAGCTGGGTACCCCTCCTACTCCTACCTCTGGGCAGCACAGATTTCCGTGGCAATGCCTATATCTTTTTCCAAGTCACTACTGGCTGTTATATGGCAGTAACAGGCTACAGACATTCCAGCCTTTGTTGAAATACCGCCTTCCACTTCCAGGCAGTGAAATTAAAACCAGAGCCAGGAAGAGGTCTGCATGGGTTCAGACTCAGCACTCTGATCATACTCACTTCAACTTCAGTTCCGTTCGAGTACCCAAATCTGAGGAGAGCTGCTGAATGAGAGAGAGCAGCACAGGCTGGGACAGCGGGCATGGATGCTGCCCGAATACTTGCTGAGTATCCACAGTCTCACAGACGTACAGAACCAGGTTGAGATCAGCTGCTGTTAGAGCCTGCAAGGAAGACACAGCTAGAAATGCAGAGGAAACAACAGGCAAGTGAGGGACAGAGCACAAGGCAGCCCTCTGCCTTTGGGCAGCTCAGTGGCTTACCAGTCTTCTCTGAGTAGGGGTCTCTGCAAACCTGCTGTACGTGCAAGCAGGACCATGTTTAGGCTCTCAGTCTCTGCTCAGAGGACACCAGTGCCTGTTCTAAGCAGAACAGACCACAACCAGATGCAGGACAGCAGGTTACAGTTAGTAGCACAGAGCAGGGCCATGTTTGCATCCCCTGCCAGTCCCCTGGCACAGCGTTGCTATCATTCTCAGAGGAGTTTGCCTGCAGCAGCTCAAAGGGATCTGCCTACATATTCAAAGGCACAGGCAAGGTCAGGCCCCAGCTGGTAGATCAGCCTGGAGAGGCTTACGAAGCTGTTGCTCTTCAGGGGTGCACCACGTGCCACTGCTGATGGCAAAATGCTCTGGTTTACTGCAGCACTGACACTACTGACTGGGCATGGGCAGAGAAGAAGGAACTTAACTGCCACCAAATCATGGAACTTGTACAGTTCTGGCTTCACCAACATGAAAATGCCACTGCACCCCTTGAGCAGTCTACTGCCACGGGTCTTTTCAACCAACTCCTGTATGAGATTTTGTGGGAATATGTCCCCACCTCAAGGAGCCCTTTTTCCTTTCACTCCATCCCCCAGCAAGCAGCAATGACCCCTGCTAGGATGTTCAGGTACCTGCTGGAAAGCTTGGTTGAGGTGTCCTTGCTGGAGCAGCTGAAGGATGTGAGTTTGCTGAGACTGGAAGTCCAAGTGAGCAGCAGGGATTGGAGTCCCGGCCGCTGAGCGCATTGCCTGGACGATGCTCGAGGTGACAGCTGCTTGCTGCTCCTTCATAGCCAGGCTCACTTCTCCTTTAATGACTCTCTGCACCTGGGCCAAAATAGACTCCTGCATGCTAAAAAACAAAACCAACAAAACCCAAAGGCATCTCTGAAAATGAAGAGCTGAAGGACAAGACCACACAAAGCTTGTACCAGCGAGAAAGAACAGGCTTGCTTGATTATTGTAGTGTGGCTTCCAAAGCGTTAAGATAAATTGCTCTGAGGCAGGGGCATCAGAAACACGCTGACACACTGCACGAAGTAGCTCTGTAGCCAATACCACAGTGTCCCAGGGTGTGTGTAGATGTTTGGATTCTGTGGGAAAGTGGTGTTTCAGGGAAGAAAGCTCTCATCATACAGTGTCTTAAATCTTTAATGTATTTATTTGGCTACTGAGCTTTGGGTTCATCCATGAATGGGCCCAGCTTTCCACACCGCATCTGTCAGATGCGGTTTCCAAGCCTACAGATGACACCTTTAGAATGAGAACACGCTTCCACTGAGCCTGCGACTTCACACAAGACCAGTTCAGAGCACAGGCTCTGTTGCTGCAAGTTAGACTTTTACTCCAAGGTCTGGATCTTCCCCTCTTACAATGGGTACAAAACATTGAGCCTGCTATACTGCAGGTAGAATAGGACGACTTCCCTGGGAGCAAGCACAGCCCATGTAACGAGACCAGAATTTAGTCTGGTAGCCTTCCTGGCAAGTCTGGTCTGCATTGAAGAACTCAGTGCGCTCTGACATATGTTCTAGTGGCTTCAAATAGACAGGGGCATTCTGACCTGCAGGTGACTACCAGCCAGTCTTAGTGCTGGGCAACCCGCCACCAGCTTCACGGTGTGAATGTGCTGAAGGCACTGCTGGGATCACATCTTGAACCCAGGATGGCCAAGCACAAATTGCTGCAGAGAAGTTTTGAGGACAGAGTAGCCTGCAGAAACTGCTGGTATACCTGAGGACACAGCGTTAAGAAGCAAAGCCTTCAAGAGACCTCATCTACAATGATCTGCAGGAAGTTGGAGTTTGAACTAGGTATCTTTAAGGTCCCTTCCAACCCAAACCATTCTATGATTCTATGATTTTAAGTGATCAGACTGGAATGTGTTTACGGGCTGCCTTAGGTCCTTCTGCTCTGCAACATGCACATGGGACACTGTGAAAAGCAGACTCTGATCTCCCAGATACAGCATCGATACATTTGGTCATTAGAAACCTTCTGTGTTCTTCATTTTGTGCTCCACAAGACAACAGTTACACCAGCCCAAGTGCTTTGTCATACTGTGCACAAAGCCAACCAGCAGCCCTCCAGTGGTAAATGGCTCGTTCCCACAACTAAGCAGGGCAACAGTTTCATTACACACATGTATAACTCTCACTGACATATCTTTCCACAAGCCCAACTGCCAACTTACTTGCCCACGATAATATGCAGCTGATGCTGCACCTCAGCATGGACGCTGGCTGCTATAGTAGAAGCCAGCTGCTCGGTGGTGCTCTGGAAGGTGCTGATGAGCTGCCGAAGCTGATTCAGCAGCGGGTCCCGGGCCTCCTGTTCTCGTACCTTCTTGTTCTTCAAGTGAGTCTCGAGCTGTTGGATATCTGCAACAAGCAGAGAGGAAGACGTTTGTGCCATTGGCACCTGTGGAGGTGGTCAGGGCAGAAATCCAGCTGCCAGGCTCTACATGCTCTCCAGCAGAAACAATTACTGAGCCAGCGTATGAGCATGGGAGAGAGGGGAAAATACACAAACTTTGTTTTGGCTGCGTTACACTAACCTAGAAACCCTGCTTCCAGCCTCCCCATCATGCAGGATTACATGATACAGCAACAAAGCCACGAGTTCTCTTGCAACAGACCTTTACAGGTACTGTTTGTTCAGGGCAAGACAAAGGTGGGAGCCAGGATATTTTATTTCATACACAGCATGAGTTGTGATCTGCGCTAATGGAGTTCAATGCCAATGAAGAAAGGAGGAACATTTCTGACAAAAAGATTTGCATCTGCAGAGATCAAAAAAAGCTGTATTTTAAAATATTTTATAAATTGCACTGATCAAAAGGGAGAAGAACATAAGCTCTATGTAGTTGTGGGAGACTTGTGAGGAAGAGGAAGGGTGCAAAATGAACAGAAGCTGGAGACCCTCTGCAGATCTCTGGACAACAGAAGTTGCTGTGCCAGCAGCAGCCAACTTGAGGCCCCTCAAAAACCAGCTTTGCAGAGTAACACCTGCCTGCCCCCCAAGAAGGCTAAGAAACTAGATCCCAAGCCTGAGAACAGGAAAGATCTTCTCCAGTGCATCAGGGTACAAACTTCCTTACAGCCTGGCCACGCCTACGCTGTTCAGCCAATATTTAACCTCTGATCATCCCCTTCTCTAAACCTTCCCCAATTCTGTCAGCCTTCTGAGGTGACAGCCGAGCTCCAGGAGCACTACCCTCTCCATCCCTCATATTCCTAATGTCAGGATGGCATAATCCTACAGCTGGGTTTTACTACTCAATAGATGAAGTCACAGATTCACAGAATGAGGCCAAGTGTTTTGCTGCAGGGGCTACAAAGATCAGAGGTGAATCTCTGTTCTTATAGCACCACCCAAAAAAAATCTCCTCACTTTGGCTTCCTTTTTCCAAGTGTGAAATGAAGCATGCCTTCAGACCACGTGGATGGGCAGAGGTTAAACAGTTACCAGCAAAACTCCGAAAGGCAAAGACATAAGGCCAACTTGTTATCAGCCACTAATGCAAATATGCTGTGCAGAGAAAACTCAGAGGAGAAAACCTACTCACATTCCTGCGTGCCCTGCTTGAAGGTGTCATTGATTTGCTGGAACATGGACTGGCAGCTCTTCTCGAAAGCTGGCAACACAACACTTTGAAACGCTTCCCTGTAAGCTGACTGGATCGGCCCCTGGAGGGTATCGGCTGTTGCCCTCACAATGGTATCTGTAAGGTTCTTACAAGCACACACAGAAGAGATTCCAGAAAATTAACACCAGCCTACAGCAGGATAAAGATGTGAACAAAAACTATAGGTCCCTGCAACACATCCACACCGGATAAGGACAGCCCATGTCCTGATTTAGATGAGGTATTAGGAAGAAATTCTTTACTGCAAGGGTGGTGAGACACCGGCACAGGTTGCCCAGAGAGGTTGCGAGTGCCCCATCCCTGGCAGTGTTCAAGGCCAGATTGAATGAGGCTTTGAGCAACCCGGTCTGGTGGGAGGTGTTTCTGTCCATGGCACAGGGTGATCTTTAAGGTCCCTTCCAATCCAAACCATTCTGTGACTTTTATGTCAGCTCTTTGCACTGACCAGACTGCACCATAATGGCAGGCAGAGCATCTGCTTGCAGAAGAGCTGCCCAAGAACACATTGCCCCTCGTTTTCCTGTAGTTCAGCCATATAGCAAGGGAAGGTGGCAGCGCCAGACACGGCTCCTTTCTCCCTCCCCTGCTTCCCTGCCACAATCCACTATTCCCTGCCAAGGTAAGTAACAAGCTTCTGCTGCCTAAAGAATGCACAAATGGAGACTAGAGAGCGGAAGAGCCAGTCAAGCTTTCACCACTTCGCTGATTGAATTGGCCCTAAAAACCACTGCTGTAGTGAGAACCTCTACTCTAGCAGAAAACCACCAACTTGGTAAATGAAAGAAAGGGCTAATGAGACAAAGTGGCCAGGGGAGTATAAGACAAGCTTACTCTCCTGATGAGACCAGGAAAGAGCTTTGACCACTGGCAGTTAAACTCACCTTACCTGGAGACATAGGTGAGGGGGAGAGGTATGGAGAATTGATACCCAGGCAGGTGACAACTCAAAGTTCCCAAGAAAAGCTAGAATCTAGTTCTCCTTACCTTTGATTTCACTAGCTTGGTGATACTCTCCTTCAGTGTCCCCTCAACAGCAGTGAGCTTGGCAGCAATAGTGTTACTTAGCTGTCCAGCAACAGGGTCCACGCTCTTGGAAATGCCTAGGCACAACACAAACATGTCAAAGTTGCAACTTCAAGCCTACAGTCACACTTCAAAACCTGAAAAAGAAAATGGAGTCAAACTCTTCTTGGATATGACACAGCAAGGAGCAACAGTCACAGGCTCTGGCTTGGGAAGCTAAGGATGGATATAAGGAAAAATTTCTTGCTAGAAAGGTGGTACAGTTCTGGAAGTCACCAGAAGCTGTGGAATCTCCAACCTTGAAGGTTTCCAAGATATGCCCAGAGTCACAGCTGACTTGACCTAGAATAGTGGGTAGCTCTGCTTCAAGCAGAATGGTGGAAACTAATGGCTGCAGAAGGCTTTCCCACCAGCATTTCTTTGAATATTTCCTTACATGGATGGTGCCAGTGCATCAACAAAGGACAAAGTCCAGTTTAAGTTTGCTCCAGTCAAGTCTCAGTATTTCTAAACTCATCAGCCTCTTTTGCCTTCTGTCACCGAACAGACTTTAGCAGCTTTACAGATTATAATGCAAGGTCAGACCAGGCTCTCTGGAATGGTATCTCCTCTGGGAGCCTCAGACTCCCTTCAAACCACAACTCCTCAGATTACAGTGGGACCTACAACAGTTTGAAGTGCAAGGACTGTTAACGTAACTCCTACTTCATATAGTGCCAACACTTTTAGGCAGCCCGCTTTCAGTCCCTACAGGGCTAACTGCAGGGATCCCCCTTCAAAACCTAGACAGCACCACTCACACTGAGGTACAGTCTTCTTCATCTCCTCGCGAATGGTCCTCTCCAGACGGTTACACACAGCAGTGGAAAGGGATTGCGACAGCTGCTGAGAGAGATGTTCCTGGAGCTGCCCATTGCGCTGCTGTCCTTCTGTCAGCGCTCGATCTAGTCTTCTCTCTAATGACAGCGTGTGTTAAGGAGCACAACAACAGATTTCCTCTCTAGCCTCAACACTCCTGTCCACAAAGATGAACGCTAGCTTTACCTCCAGAGGCTCACCAAGAGCAAATTTGCAGCTCTGGTGAAAAAGAGAGTCTATATTACATTGTGTTTACATTGTGTTCCTGTAAACAACAGGGTGCTCTTAAACAAATGATCAAGGTGAGAGAAAAGCTCTGGAAGGTGTGCTAGAAAACCCAAACAGCCAAAAGAAGCTCGACAGTAGTGTTCACTACATATTGTGGGTTAACTTAGCTGTCCCCATAGGCAGCTCAGCCCTCTGCAGCAGGATGGGGGAGAGAACAGGAAATGTAAAAGTAAGAAAGCTCACAGGTTGAGATACAGACGGTTCAATAGGTAAAGCAAAAGCTGCACACATGACCCAAACAAAATAAGGAATTCATTTATTACTTCCCATCAGTGGGCAGGTGTTCAGCCATCCTGAGGAAAGCAGGGCTCCATCATGCATAACAGTGGGTTAGGAAGACAAACACAATCACTCCAAACATCCCCCTCCTCCCTCCTCCTTTCCCCCAGCTTTTACTGCTGCGCACAACATGATATGAAAGGAGACAGCCCTTTGGTCAGCTGGGGTCAGCTGTCCCAGCTCCATATCCTCACTACATCTTGCCCACCTCCAGCCTGCTCACCAGTGAAGCAGTGTGAGAAACAGAAGGCCTTGACAGGGTTTAGCAATAGCAAAAACACTGGTGTGTAATCATCACTGTTTCAGTTACAAATCCAAAACATGTCACCATACAAGCTGCTATGAAGAAAATTAACTCCATCCCAGTCAAAACCAGTACCGGAACCAAGAAACCCAATACCCATAAAAAGCAAAGTGGTAAAAACATTTATACAGGATGGAATTGGTGAACATAAGCAATATAGTGCATGGGAGCAAACCCAGCCTTAATAAAAGCCAGTCATACCTCATGAAGCAACCAAGCTCTCTGAAGAGGCCAACACACAAACACCAAGATGCTTGTGCACCTTAGAAAACAAAACCAAAATCAACTAAACAGTGAAAAGAATTCAGCTGCTGAGAAAATTCAGTGCAGATAGGAAATTGCGCAGCTAGGGAAAAATTATTCTAATTATTATCATATAGCTCTAGATTCTGAACTTCAGTAGAAACTCATCTGAATTACCTATGAAAATATCAGCTTCATGGTCAAAAAGGAAAATCCAAGAGTAATTAATAGAGAAAACAGAAATCATTGTCATCTCATTGAAGTTAAGAGTGGTTTCAGACATGGAACAGGGTAGAACAGCTCAGTTTGGGGAACATGGCCAAATTCAGTGCAGCAAAAGATGTACAGGAACTGACTACTCACAATGCAATAAAAATAGTTTGATACCAGGTTTTAAAACATCAAAAGAAAGTACTTTTCAGATGACACAAGGGACCTGTGGACCACCAGATGTCTATATGGGTACAGACAAGGTAATTCTATACTCAGCTATGCAGCATAGAAGTCAGAGGCTATTTCTAGTGCAAATACTGACTCGCCTTAAGGAGGAAAGGATGATCCCATCCCATAATCACTTGTGCAACTGGGCACTGCCAGATGTAGGATAATGCATTAGGTGCATCTCTAGCCTACTCCAGAGTTGCAGCACCTATGGTTTTAATGGTTACCTAGAAGATTTAGTGGCATGGACAAAATATCAGTTCTTCTCCATTCCGTTTCTGAGATTCTTGCCCTTAGAAAGGGACAAAGAGGAACTGAAATAGTTATGCTGCAGCCAGGCAATTTTACTGCACCTATGGCCCACACTACCAAGATCCTTGAACCTTCTTAGCCTTTCTCACGTCTTCAGTCTGCCTTAACTCCCACACAATACTTGCAACCAAGGATACGCTCCTGCTCCTGCTGGGAGTCAATCACCCTCTCCACGTGGCCCATGAGGGAGCTCTGAATGGCATCAAGGTGATCCGTGAGTCTCTGCAGCAGCTCCATCTGGTTCTGACGCAGCTCAGAGAGCTCCCGCTGCTGGCTCCTCAATATGCACATCAGCTCATCCTGGAACTCTGGTGTGACCTATGCATGGAGAGGACAGCAATAATTTCAAACAGGATCGGAGGTCAGTCAAGCTTTCTGCCAGGCATTAAGTCAACCCCTGTGCCTGGGACTGAAGTGTAACACAAAGCAGAAAACAGGGCCAGCTTAATGCCCATTTCTAAGACTTTTATGTCAAGAAATAAAATGATAAAGTAAGGTACACGAAGTTCCCACATGGAATTCATAAATGGTTGCTTAGAATATCAACTGCTTAGATTCAAGACCCCATTTCAAAGCTCCAGCATCTAAGACAAAACAGTTCCTATTCACTTTTGACCAGGTACTGAGATAGAGTGTTTAGGCCTCTGAATGTAAATAATGACCTCAAACACTTACAACTGAGCTGTGCAATCAGTAAAGAAGGTTGTTTTCTAGAGCACTTTTTCAGTTCTTTCACTTATTTACAAATAATCAAACAACTGAAGTAGTACACATCTATAGTTCATTGTCTCTTCACCTACTTAAAATACCTAAAGGAGCAATACTGATCAAGGGCAGTTTAAGAAGTGTATGCAATGCAGTTGAGAGCATTTCCTGCCAGATATGAGGGTACTATCAACAGGGATAAGAAATTCCGACAGGACAGTCCCATTGTGACCCTTACTTTGCTGGGAACAGCTTATCCTGCTGCCAACACACGAGAGTCATCTCAGCAGGGAACAGGAAGTGAGTGGTAGTGTCTTAGATGCCATAGGGTTTGTTCAAACGCAGAAATATCACATGCAAAGGTGAGAAGGAAGCCATCTGTCTGGACAGCACTGAGCAGCTCCTTCTCTGCAGCACAAGTCAGAACAGAGCAACGCCAAGCCAAGCGCAGCCCCACCTCAGCCTGCTTGGGCACAGCAGGGGCCCACGGTACTTCAAGGAACTGGGATGAACTTTCTCTCAGGACTTTAGTACACAGCTGAAGCACCATGCCCCCGGGAAGGACTGCAGAGCAGCTCTGACTCACCTGGTTGTTAGATGATCTTGGTGACTGGTTCACATCCCTGGAAATAAAGAGAGACAAAGCAGTAATCCAATTATGTCAATTAACTACTCATCATCCATGTCTTCTGCCAAAACAGATCACACATTTTACAGTTGCTTTGGATTTTACGTCCCAGCTCATACTTGTTTCGTCTAGTATAACATGAAGAGTAACAGGAAGGGGATGAAATCCCAGTTCTTACAGCACTGTGACTCCATCATTTGCGCTATCAACAGGCCCTGAAGTTCCTTACAGACTGGTCCCTTTGCAGGGAGATCTGAACGTCTAAACGAGGACTGTTACAAGGAAGAATGCACACTGATTTTTCAGTTTTGTTCAAATTCAAAGCCAGGAAAGGCTTTGCCGAACAGCTTTTGAAGGTCTCCCAATATTTCTACAAAGAAAAACCAGGAACCCATTTGTTAAATATAGAATTAATGAGCTTCCAGTCTCGAGATGAAGAAAGTAGTGATGCACTCCAGCACATACAGCAGAATAACCACTGAACTGATCCACTAATATTGCATGTGTCCATCAAAGTCTCAACCTATGAATATTCGAACATCACCAAAGGGAAAGTAAGCATCTGTCATTCCCAGAGAGCATCCATTCAGCAACTTTAAAAGGACTGAGGCACGAAAAATGAAAGTCACTTCAGAAGCTAAGAGCTTCTGGGTGTCACAGTACAGGACCACAGTCAGAAACTCAGTGCCATAGCTCATATTTGTTGTAATCTGCACAGATGGAGGTCCAAATCATGGAGCTATGGGAACACAAGAAGAGGAGAGAGCCCCATGCAGAAGCTGTGCTGCTCTCCTCACATTAATGCAGACAGGTTGGTCTAATTTGCCACGGGCAGACCTTTCCAGTCATCAATTTTCACTTACAAGACATTCTTACAGGCACATTTAAAAAGACACAAAAGCAGCAAACAGGTAACCAACGATCAATATTGCTGAACACAGGCACCGTGCCAGCATTCAGAAGCCCATTAGAAATGGAGGCCACGTCCAGCTACGCTCATAGAGTCACAGTTCCAATGAAGACCTCACTGAAACTGGCAAATGGATGCAGTGTCCCTCACAACGTGCAATTTATCCTCCACGCATCTTCTGAAACCCAGGCTGTATTTTGGATTTTGAGTCCCAGCTGGAAAGGTAGTGCAGAGCCCACTCCCACACCCGAGTGGCAGTCAGTGCTTGGGTAACCAGCAACAGTTTTTGGCATTACTGCCATGTGCAAAATGGGATGAGGGCTGGGAGCACTGGGCCACTGCCCAACCTCAGACCCCAATCTTGCTGCTAATGGCTACCTCAGGTTGTGGCCCTGCACAGCTGGTCTCACAGCCCCCTGTATTTTGGCAAGCCCAAGCGTACCCGTCATCTTTCTTGCCCTTCCGCTTTAGCTTTGGGGAAGCCCGAGGGGATGCCTTGGCTTTCCAGTCCTTCACAGGCAGCCTCTGCGTAGATGCTTTGGCACCAAATCCACCTGACGTAGAAGCCAAGCTTGCAACTTCATCATCATGGTCACTATGAAGGAACAGCAGGGGAGAAGACATCACTTGCAATAGTAGACAGCATTAGGCTTCGTGAAGGGGAGGACATTCACGCTCTGCTCTTCATCCACACACGGCCAGAGTCATGCACCTAAGGACACCTCGGCAGAACACCACCTGCTCTTGCTGCATACACACACCAGCACATAAGCTCTAGGATGTGATGCTGACCTAGCAGAGAACTCAAGCACAGCACATCCTTACAGCTTTACAGACAGAAAGCACTTAACGCAGCAAACATCGCGGGAACAGAGGAGAATCAGGCAGAGCCTAGGAAATGCATGATCTTTGGTATCTCGGGAGTCTTCCAGCTGCTGACCAGCCATCCAATACAGGTGGCGAGCTTCAGTCTGATTTGAAGCATGGATTATGAATGAACCCTCAGCTGTCAAATAGGACTGAGCTTGCCAGGCACACTGAAGGTGCCCACGGGGCTTTTAGGTGGCTCATGAGAGAGTAAAGATGTCAAAAGCAATAAACTCCTGAGATACTCTCACTACCTATCTAAGGCACAGTATTTGGAAAGTGATCCCTTAATAGGTTCTTACTGGCAATTAGACCTAATTTGGTCCATGCTTTTATGGGCAAGCACAGTCAAATCAATTGGACAATGCCCAGAGGCCAATCTCATGACCAGCTGAAGTCATCAGGACATTACAGAAGCTGGACTGCATACACACATTAAGTCAGGAGACAAAGCAAAGACATTCACCCCACATGTGAAGGCTTGATGGGGAGAGAAGCACGAATGCAGCCTGAACTGAGTCCATGCAGGACGAGAGAGGGGGCTGAGCACTCTGGTACCTTTGTTCTGCACTAGCGTCCTGGCTGTCATGCTGCAGCAGGTGGTAGCTGTGTCGATGATACGAAGAGCTCTTGTGCTTTTCTTCAACCTCGTCCCTTGGGCTAGAGGAGGAAAAAAGAAAATACCATCATGGAAGTATCTTTCAGGTTGGGTATTTGCTCACTCCACTTCTCATGGCAGATCTTGATAGCAGGTCTAAAACAAACAAAACCCCTACACTTATCTGCACAGATCCAGAGAGCAGCAAGTGTTGTTAGGAAGCACTAAACATTTAAACTTCTCCATGTGTTTTTTCTGGAGGACTTAAGAAGGGAGAAGCATCTCAGCTATGCTTCAGGCACTAACCAAGAAAAATCTCCCAACAGACACCCATGCAAGACAGTTAAGTCACTACTCAAAATGGGCAGTACAGTGTAATTCAGTGAACAGCATCATCTTGGATTTGTTTTTCCTTAAGTAATACTGGGGCAAAAATCAGCATTTCCCAGCTCTTCCAAGTCTGAGGATTACACAGAGGGAAGTGTGCCAATTTGATGGGTTAACTCCACCAGACAGAACAGAATTGCAACAGCGAATCCAGTCCGAGTTTCATAGAAGTTCTGAAAGCAAATTACATATGCTCCTAAGCCATTAACTAGGCCTCTCTGAATGCAGTGTGCAGAAAGATCTTGAAACAGAAGTGAGCATTTGTTACTTTCATGTAGGCTGATGGCTTGACTGAGCTGGAAAGTAAAAAAAAACAACAACCAAAAAACCTCAAAAAACTGATGTACAAGTGAAATATCTGATCTGATACTCTGATATGAGAAATCCTGAAGAATTCAAAGACAGAGTGGGATGGAGGGCAGTTGTAAACTCCTATAGAAGGATTTTCTCAACTTTGAATTATGAGCAAAAGCAAAAACATTGCATAGACACAGCCTCAGTGCCCTTCTCAGAGTCACCAGAATCAAGACTGTTTCTTGAAGCAGCACCCTCAGGTGCAGAGGCACAAGATGAGGCCTCTTTCTCTTGCAATTCCCTTGATGGGAATTCTCCTTTGATGGGAGGGAACAGTCCTGAATACTTTGAGGGACAACCCTGGCACTCCCAGCCTGCCAGCCCAG